TTCTGACCAAGCTGGTGTCGAGGCTGCACTGAATGACAGGGCTGAGGCCGCTTTGCTTGACTGGATCCCAGTCAACAGTCGGCTATGTGCAGTCAGACTATGAGATTTATGTAAATTAAGTAAGCGTCGAGATGTTACGCGTGCCTTGTTAGTCATCTCTGCCTACGCTCCTACAGACTGCAGCCCGGATGCAGTCAAGGATTGCTTTTACCACGAGCTACATGAGCTTCTGCGTTCCGCTAAGAACTCTGACGTTGTCATTCTTGCCGGGGATTTTAACGCACGAGTGGGCCGCCTGTCACCAAGCGAGCACCATCTTGGGGATAGTTTTGCCCTCCGTAGCAGCTGGTCAGACAATGGAGACAGACTACTGACTGTTTTGATTATCGCTTGTTTCCTTTCGAGGACAACTTTTCGTCATTCGAAAAGACAGACTGCCACCTGGCGTCCGCCTTCTCAAACACATAAATGATTTCAGCTTGACCACATAGCAATAAGCTACAGATGGCGCGGAAGCGTAACAGACTGCCGATCCTACTGGTCAACTTGTCTGGACTCCGATCACGCACTGGTTCGCGCCAAAATTTGCATGCGTTTCGGAGGATCATCCAGACGTACGCACTACCGACCGAGCGTCAAAAATCTGCAACATCCTCCGATGTTAGCCAAGTACCAGCCTTTTCCGTCAACACTACTTGTTTCATCCTCTGAGGATGTTCTCATTTCGCAATGGATGCGCATCAAAGACGATTTAATTTTTACCACTACTATCACTTGTGCATTTGCTTGTCACCCGCCGAAAAGCTGGATCACCACTGCCTTCCTGTCGCTGATGGATAGACGCCGCTTGATCTCAGCCGACACTAGCTGTAGTGCGGAACGCCGAACCCCGGATCGAGCGTTGCGTATGAGCTTAAAAAATGACCGTGAGACCTGGTGGTGTGAACGTGCTAGAGAGCTTGAACTTCCTAATCTCTGGTAATATCAAAAAAGCTGTTCCAACTCATCCGAGTCACCGAAGACTTCCGATCAGGAGTAAGCGAAACAATCTGCGAAGATGGCTTCCTAATCACTTATCTTCAACAACAGTTGGAGCGATGTGCTGAACATTTTCACTCGCAGTTTTCCTGGTCGCCAGCTCCATCTGTTTCCCCTCGAGCCCGCACTGGTGATGTGTGGACTATCCAAACTGATTCTCTCACCAGGAAAACTGGCGGGAACCCAAAACCCACCAAAAGCCCACCTGCGTCTGGCCGTGGTCGCAGGTGTATCCTAGTACCGTCGCAAAACATACATGAATCGTTCCAGTACCTCAAAGGCTGCGTGTGACGGCCGTCAACCAGATCCGAATTTGTCTCTGCAATCACATTCCCGAGCTGGATCTGCTCTCCACTGCCTTGTGGGTCAGGCTATTGAGCCAAAGGCTCCGGGTGGAGTCCCTCAAGCAAACCTCCAAAGCACAACGACCACCTCGGGTGCGATTTCCTACCAATGCAATCGTATGCCTGCGCGCAATTCACTCAGCATCGGGTGCTGAAATGTGCGCCTACTACTGGACCGGAACTTCATTGAGCTCCCCGAGCGACGCACTGCACTGGTTGCTATGGAACTGGCGTGTTACCACACAGATATTGCGGCGCTCAGTGAAACTCGGCTCGCTTAGCTAGGTAAGTTGCATGAAGCAGGTGCTGGCTACACATTCTACTGGGTGGGCAACGCCGTCCCAGCACCACGGGTACATGGCGTCGGATTTGTAATATCCGATCGCCTCCATGGCCAGCTGGTAGGTGAACCAACTGGCATCAGCGCGCGCCTGAGGACTGTTCGCCTACGACTCGGAATAGGTGAGTTTGCCACTTTTATAAGCACTTACGGTCCGACCAGGTGTTATCCTGATGACACGCGTGATCAGTTCTACACTGAGCTATCCTCCGTGATACGGTCTGTGCCGAGGAGCGACCGACTATTTCTGCTGGGTGATTTCAACGCGCGCGTCAGGCGTGATGCATCGGTGTGGGCAGATGTTATCGGTTCGCATGGCATTGGTTTAGCGAATGCGAACGGTGACAGGCTGCACACACTATGTGCCACTCACGGCCTGACGATCACGAACACTCGGTTTGCACTGAGTGCGAGTGATATATCAATTTGGAGGCACCCACGGACTGGTCACGCTCACCTGCTCGACTACGTCATCGTACGTCAGCGTGATATGCGTGAAGTGCGCATGACACGTGTACTGCGTGGAGCTGAGTGTGGCACTGATCACAAATTGGTGCGGACCAAACTGTACATATATTTTCGTAAATCTATGTATTGCACTCCGGCCGTGAATCGGTATAAATTTAACATTCGCTCGGTACTGTGGCGAAACTTATTGGGCTGGAGAAGACGATGGCTTCACGCCTGTGTAATGTGGACTGCATAGCCACAGTGGGCGAACTGTGGCACCACATTCGCGACCAGGTGACAGCTGCTGCCGAGGAGACCATCGGGCGCGCAAACTGTAAGCGGCCTGACTGGTTTAATGAGAACAATGCGACGATTGGCGCATTGGTGTCGGGGAAGAATGCAGCATTTGCTGCACATGTGGCAGACCCCAGTGACTTACGGAAGAAGAGTCAGTTTCGCAGAAATCATCGGCGACTGACTCTTGAGCTCCGTCGCATTAAAAATGCATGGTGGACGGAGGAGGCGAAGCAGATGGAATGCTACGCCGAATGTCGTCAACGCAAGGTATTCTTTGACCCATTGAAGGCGTTGTCTGGACCGAGTTTGGAGCCGCTGAGGACGCTGACCGTTGGTAGTTCAGGCGCTACCTACACACAGACTGCAGACATAATGCAGGTCTGGCGAACGCACTTTGACCGTCTCTTGAACTGCTGTTCAGAGATCGGCTGGCTTACATTGAACGGCCTCAGACATCACGAGGTGAAGGCGAGTCTGGCGGACACGCCGACACTGGATGAGACTCAGAGAGCACTTGCTCAGCTGCGAAACGGCAAATGTGCCGGCGCCGAAGGGGTCCAGCCTGCAGTATTGAAACAAGGCGAACCCGCGTTGGTTACTTCGCTACATCACTTGGTACAACGTGTATTGATTGAGGAGGAGGTGCCTGCTGAGCTGAAGGATGCCCTTGTGCTATCACTGTACAAAGGCAAAGGGAGTAAGCAATGTTGCGCGAATTATCGTGGCATCAACTTGCTGAGTTGTGTGGGCAAGGTGGTTGCCCGAATCCTGCTCAACCGCCTCCTCAGTCAGGTTGTGGAATCTAACCTGGCAGAAGAGCATTGCGGATTCTTTTCGGGTCGCAGCACTATCGATATGGTGTTTGCGGCTCGTCAGTTGCAGGAGAAGTGCAGAGAACGACATCAGCTATTGTACTCGCTTTTTGTTGATTTCACCAAGGCATTTGATACGGTGAACCGCGAGGCACTGCGGCTGGTGATGGGTAAGTTTGGTTGCCCGCGTAAGTTTGTTACTTTAATTGAATGTCTGCACGTTGGTATGCGAGCGAGGGTGCAGCTAAGTGGAGGAGACCTCAGATGACTTTGCAGTTGTCTCTGGTGTGAAGCAAGCCTGTGTCTTAGATCCTTCCCTGTTTAATATTTACTTTCATGCAATGATGTGCTTTTGATGCCGCTTGTGCTTACGGTGTTCGTATGAAGCACCGTATTGATGGTGGGTTGCTGAACATCCGTCGTTTCGATGCGAGAACTCTAGTCTGTGAGACAACTATCCGTATGTTGCTGTTTGCTGACGACTGTGCGTTGTTTTCACACAGCGCGGATGAGTTACAGCACATGACTAGTGCTCTGGCTTCGACAGCGGCCAAATTCGGGCTCACCATCAAGACAAGCAAAACTGTCTGTCTGTCAGCCTTCACCGGAGGTGCAATCTTCAATATTTCCGTGAATCAACACTGGTGCTGAAGTATTGGAAACCAGCTCCCGCTTCTGCTACCTCGGTAGTGTGACGTCGACTGATCATCAGATACGCAGTGAACTGCGTATTCACGTGTCCAGGACAGCAGGCGGCATTCGGGAAGCTTGAGTACAGAGTG